CTAATGATGAATGATTAATCGTTGTCGTTATGATGATTTTAAATTTTCCATAAATTAAATTCGAATTTATAAGTTTACACTCGAAATTGCGCATTATTACTATGCAGGTTATTTTGTGGTTTCGAGTAATTTTACGAAATTAATTTCAGTTTAAGTGCAAAAGTTTTTGCGTGATTTAAAAATCGTAGAATGTCATTCAAAGTAATTAATTTGACTTATCGCTTATTAATATAAGCGAAATTAGCTTTAATACTTTTATAAATACTATTTTTGAAATGTTTTAGTGTTTTCGATTATCTTTATGCCATAACGAGCAAGTATAAATACATACTTGGTGGCATGTTAATGTAGCTTAGGGAGACTTCAATTGATAGGTGCAATTTGTGAGTTTCTAACCAACTTAATCCAATCTTAATGATTTTGACATTTTAGTATAGAAGTATGTTAAAGTTATTTAAGATGCACACAGTGAATGCACAGTGTGAAATTAAAACAAAATTGCTTTTGTTTTTCAAATTTTCTTAGATTATACCTTTTCAAACCACATAATAAAGTTCGAAATCGATATCTCAATTAGTTTTTGAGTTACAGCCTTCCAAAGTCAAGCCGCTCAATTCAGTGACCTCCATCAGTTTATTGGCTATTTTAAACATTTTTTATTCAAAACTGCACTTTCCAAATTAGCTTGAGTGATTACTTGGTGACAAATGATCCGAACACTATTAAATTTTTCTGCATGCTCTGTGCTTAGTCCTACACATTGACAGACCAATAGGCAGGCCAAAAACCACGAAAATTTAGAGTAAAATTCTACTTCTTTTTAAACTTCACCATTTTTACAATTTTTAATATTTTTTCGACCGCACGTCATTGTAAGGACACTGTACCTTCTAGTAGATACTTTTCTTCTAAACTTTTTTTTCAAACTTTTCAAACTTAATCTAGCCACTTTAACTACATATATTATACTCGTCACTTACCGTTAAGCCATGAACCAACGGCACCGGAAATGATATTGTCAAAATGATCACCCACAGTGTTACAATTGCAATCTTCGTCACCTTCTCGGTGCGCAATTGTCGTGAACGTATCGGATGTACGACGGCTAAAAACCGATCGACCGACATCAACACCAACGTGTAAATGCTTGCGAATGCAGTAACAACAATCAAATATTGCACCGTTCGACACCACATATCACCGAAGGGCCAATACTCGGTTATATAATCGGTTGCGGTGAATGGTATGCAGAAAACGACGAAGAGCAGATCGGCAACAGCTAAATTGACAATCAACAGATTTGTAGTGGAATGCATTTGTTGATTGAAGAGTACGACGAGTATGACGAGCGTATTGCCGAAGAAGCCCGACAATGCGAATATGCCAAAACAAAAGGGTACAACAATTTGCACGAATTTGCGTAGTTCGGGTGATAATTCATCGATTTCCTCGTATTGTTCGAAATCAGGTTTGGTGAGACTTTGTGTGGTGGCATTTAGTAATGCCGTTGTAATATTTTGTACCTCTAACATTTTGTGGTTGTTGCTATGATTTGCGTAATAGTAAGTGGTGTTGGTAGAAGTTATGTTATTATGTAGTTCGTTGTTGTTGTTTATAGTTTGATTTGTTGTTAAATTAGAGCTTAGATTCATTGCTAATCCTGTGAAATTCATGTTTCAACTGTTGTTATTCTTGTTAGTGCTTTGTTCGATAAAGGTATTGTTATCACTGCTGATAGCATATTTAGCTTTGCTGAAGCACTATTTTAAATTTAAAATGTCGATTTGTGTATGCACTTTAAAGGAATATTATTTTTTTTTAACTGATTTTTAGCTTTTTTAAACAATAAGGTTTTAAAATTCTTATTAAAAACTGTAAAAATTAAAAATTTAAATTAGAATACCGTTTAAACAAAACCACTCGGTTTGTTTTTTATTATATTATTATTATAACTTAACTTAATTTTAATTTAGTTTAATTTAATTTAATTTAGTTTTATTTAATATTTTCTGTTCAATTTATTTTAATTTTATTTCGTTTTATTTTATTTTGATATAATTTTATTAAATTGTTGTACTTAATTTAGTTGTATTTCATTTCATTTTATTTTACTTTTTAATAAATGCCATATTGTTTTTTTTTTAATTTAATATAATTTTATTTTACTATATTTAATTAAATTTTTTATTTATTAAAAATTTTTTTATTATTTAAATTTAATTTAATTTAATTTAACTATATTTAATTTTAATTTAGTTTTATTATTATTTAATTTTATTTAATTGGTTTTAATTTATATTGCTTCATTTTAATTTTTATTGTTTTATTTTAATTTAACTATAGTTAATATTATTTAGTTTTATTTAATATAACTTTATTAAATTTTATATTATTTTTTATATTTTATTTTTATTTATTTAATTTAATGTTTTATTATTTTTATTTAATTTAATTTTATGTTACTAAATTTAATTGTAATTTAGTTTAATTAAATTAATTTTTTTTTAAATTATTATTTTTTTATTTAATTTAGTTTTTTATTATTTTTTAATTTAATTATATTTTATTTTAATTTAGGTTAATTTAATTTTTATTTAATTATGTTTTATTTTAATTCAGTTTTATTTAATATAATTTTATTTAATTTAGTTTTTATTAAATTATTATTATTTTATTTTATTTTATTTTATTTATTTTATTTTATTTAATTTAATTATATTTAATTTTAATTTAGTTTTATTTAATATAATTTTATTTTATTTTATTGTATTGCATTTCATTTTATTATATTTTTTTTAAAGGTTTTATTTTTTTTTCTTTAGCTTCTTTTGTTTCTATTACTTAAAACACTTCCAATCATATAGTTTTAAATCCAAAATTTGTTACCACAAACACTTGCTTAAGTATATACGCAAATATACAGTTATAAGCGCCCTGCTCACTCGTAATGCAAATTTTACAATTATTTTAAACGTCACTCATACGCCACCGTGCTCGTTCCTAGTAAATCAGTTAGTTAGCGTTATCACAACAATACCGTCCTAACGCTTTGGCCCGCATATCGCAAATGAATTAACACATTTTTGCATAGAAATCGACTATTTTGCGGAGCACGAGCATAGTTGAGTGAAATAAGCACATGCTCGCGCCACTACACCCACACAAACAACACTAGACATACATCACAAACTCGTCCCGATGATCCTAAATGACTCGAAGCGACGTTTGGTTATGCGCTCAGTTAGACACACCATGACGACGGCGGCAGTTCTACTCTTCACTTTACATTGAAGTGTTGCTCATTTCATCGTGTCATAAACGAAAACATAGTCCCAAAATTAAGCACCACACAAGCACATATATACCAATAATAATATAAAATATGATATATATTATACTATATCGACATTATGTATGTACATATTATAACAACCGTTGAAAGGTGATCAGCGAATGACAGGTGTGTAATAATTGCCGCGCCATAGCAGGACGCAGCGAAAATTCAATTAATGATTGGAAGCGCATAAAATGCCACGGACACACATATACATCAACCCGGCATGTGTGTTAAACCGATTATGCAGTTGAAAAGTATGGTTTTGTTTACCATTTGATGATGACGTTCACACCACGCTTCACATTTAATACAAATGATATTACGTTTGTGGTGCTTCACTTTATTATTGCTCTTAAAGATCTCGAACAATGTCAATGGCACTGTCTTTTAAAATCCTCTAATAAATAGAGGAGTTGTTGTAAGTCATATCAAGTTCAAGTCGATTCAGAAATACGCAAATCCTACAAACAAGACACAATAACAACAAGTAGTAATTAAAGCAAATATTCACTTCGACGAATTGTTCTAATTGCATGTATATTGAGAGATCGGCGTTCATGAATATGAGCTGAGAGAAAATGAGAGAAGATACTCGTTAGAAAATAAATGTATGGTTTTGTGAAAACAAAAGCAACAAAATAGTGAGAATTGTTGCATTATTGCTACTGAGTGACTACAGTCTATGGAACAGTTTAAATATGGTATATGTATGCTAGTGAAAGCCCGATGAGAGAAATATATAACTAATTTAAGTTGATCAAATAGAATAGTAGTAGTTAATAGATACTAGTTAATATTTAAAATAATAAAAAAACCTTAACTTCGGTTGCACCGAAACCATCTTATCCTTCACAAATATAAACGTTTCTATAAAAGAATTTTATCGGTCAGTTTGTATGGCAGCTACATATAGGTATGTATGCTATAGTAATCCGATCTAAACAATTTTTTCGGTGATATCACCATTGGCTTAAATAATCACCCATGCTAAATTTATTCAAGAATCGAATTTCGAATAAAAAATTCTTCCATACAAGCACTAGATACCGATCGTTCAACTGGTATAGCTGCTAATTAATCATGCCCTGTCAATTTCAATTAATGAGTAAGACATTTTACAGTTCGTTAGATCATAAGGTTTATATTTGAGTTATATACGTGTGTGTAATTTATTAAATGATGTACAAAGATAAAATGACCTAATTTAAAAAAAAAAAAAACATCGCGTATACGCAATGGCGATCCTCCAAGATCGTCTGATTCCAAAGCCATGCCACTAGCAATTTTCGTTTGTTCTTGTTTGTCACTGCAAATTTTTTAACCATCTCCGTTACAGTTGTAAGTAATAACACGTGGTTTGTTAAGCAAAAATTTTATAATATTCTGAAAATGTGTCATTCACTGTAAACCCTACACACGCCTAACGCAGCCAAAAGTCACTTTTTATTGAATGAGCTTCTATATTGCTCATTTTATTCTAGTATGAAAGCGACAATTTATATTTACATATATCAT